AGCGTAATATATCGTTTTCCCTCAAACCCCTCCCCCCCACCCCCACCCATCCCGAATGACCTTTCGACCCAGCGTGAAAATGTGTCCCCATTACCAAAAATCCCTTATATGATTTGTCCAGGTGCGATTGTGAATCATTGGAAAACAATTGTTTATCTTTGGACTTGTGTTCTAAAATATCATTTCAGAATGACCGGATAACTGAGCGAAAACCTACATTGGGAACTGGGACATCAAACGTGCAAAGATATGAATTTAACTACAAAGTGCATTAGAAAGTTGAGAATAAACACTTGTCGGTCAGTATCCGGACAAGATAGGGTACCAAAGAGTCCCTGCATGCAGATATCCGAGATGGGATGAGTTTGTATTTGGAACGAGAAGAGTGGGATTTTGCGGGCTCACAGACCAGTGTGTGGAGGATGGGTTCAATCAGATAGAGTATGGCCAGCAAACTTCAAGCACGCACCACTGTGGGCATTAGACATATTGCCAATGAGAACAGATAACGGAACTTGGGAGACACGGCTGATCATTGAGAGCCCACGCCTCAACAGCTTGAAATCGGCCTTCAGCAAACCAGGGAAAATTACAGGGGAGCAGTAAAATGGTGTAGGGAGGACACATTGCTGACCGAAGGCGTCTATCACCAAAAAATCAGAACAGAAGTGGCGCAGTCTTCTTATCTGAAAAGAGAGAACTTTCAACGTGGGTATGTAAAAACCAACGAAGGTTACTTTCAAGTGTGACACCTAAGTACTTGACATGGTTGACTCTGGTCATCGACTTTCCATGAATCTGTTCATTTTACCAGGGAGATGGGGAACGGTTTAGGGTAAAAATACCTTCAAGGCATTTTTCGGGATTGGGATTAACCGGTTGGAATATAGTGCTTAATAAGATGGGATGAGTTTGTCTTATATGCAGTCAGTTCTACTTGATTAGATGCGTAAACGATATCATCAGCTTACTCAATGTCGTAAAGGGGAGTAAAATGTAAGTCACGAAAAGATCGGGTGAAAAGACCACCTTGAAGTACACCTATTGATTGATGACGTTGACTGTCTTCTTTCCAATTTAACATACTGATATTTTTACGAAAAATAATCACCAAGCCTTTCAAGAAGAGAAGTGGCACAGCCAAATCATTGGAGCTTGTTAACTAAAAGAGAACGGGGCACCGAGTCAAAAGCGGAAGAATAATCAAGAAATGCGCAGTGCACTTATTTAGCTTTCTCGTTTAGGGGTTCACTGATGAAGTGAACCTGAGAAGAAACGGTATCTTATGCAGAGTGGTTATTCATATGCAAACTGATAAATATCATCGGGGCTGGTGAGAGGTAACTGAAGATGATGCAGGACTTCTCGCTCCATCAATTTCAAACCAGTGAAAGTGCAAGCAATTGGTTTGAAACATTTAGTAGTCGGAGCCTTTGTCGTTCCTTTGGGGATGGAGTAATTCTCACCAGAATCCAGCTCTCTGGAATAGTTCGGAGCCTGTGTGAAAAAGTTGGTTGTGTGCAAAACTTTGAGACAATGGCACAGCACCCTGTTTAAGAAGTGTAGGAATTAAGTTGTGCAGATCAAGTGCGGTCGCCACCTCGTGAGTTGCATGTGGGTGGAATGCTGCCAGGTTATTCAGACCAAGACAGGTGAACTTTATTGAGGAATCCACGATCAGAGCCTTTGGCTAGCCAAAGCCTGACCCGCGAGGCAGCGGGGTGGGGTGTGGAAACCGCAATCCACTGGGGGCTGGTGTCCAGTTCATCGGATCATACACCCTTTGGACGGGGTCAAACGTCCAAGGTGCCCAATACACCTTGATGCCCAATCGAGAGAGAACACACTAAGTGGTCTCCAAAATGTGGGTATTAACTGGCCAGCTGAAGATAAACTGTGCGATTTAGAGTACACCGATAGCGTCGTCTGTCTGTTCCAATGTATGGAGGACGCGCAAAGCACACTCGATAGACTAACAAGTGCAGTTGCCACATTTGGTGGGTGTTATGCACCTTCAAAGTTCAAAGTGATGCTTCGGAACTGGGTTTCGTGGACTCCCGCTTTGAAACTAAATGGCCAGGAATTAGTTACGGTGGATTAGTTTTCCTACGTAGGTTAATGCGTGACCAATGACGGTAGTGCAGCAAAGGAGACAGACGCCCACATTTCCAAGGCTCGAGCAGCGTGTGCAGAACTGAAACACCTGTGACGTAGATGCGACGTTTCGCTGAAGTTGAAAGGTCGTATATTGTGCTAACGTTTGTTCAGTCCTGCTTTATGGCTGTGAGACCCTGAATTCACGAGTAGAAGATATTCGTCGACTAGAAGTTTTCGGTTATCGGTGTTTACGCAGTTTAGCCCATGTTGGATGGACCGAACGGGTTAGTAACGTGGAGGTAAGTCGTCGTGTGTTTGGGAGTCTGTCAGGTATAAAACTGCTAGCACACCGAATTCAGATTAGTAGACTTCGCTGGTTGGGTCACGTATTGCGTATACCCAGCCATCGTCTGCCGCACCGCGCTTTATTGACTGCAGCCGCTCCGGGCTGGAAGAAACCACGTGGAGTTCATCAGATGACGTGGAAGCGAGGCATGAAGAAATGCACAGAGCCATTAGGTAGGTTAGGTATCTCTCCTCCCAGCTTGGGGTCCGAAAGACTCCACAACTGGTTGGTTGGAGACATTGAAGGATATGACAGCGAATCGACAGCAGTGGCGTTCTTTTTGTCATTTCTTATCAGGTCAGAACGCTTGAAACGGTATGTAGAGTTCAGTTGTACACTGTGTTGACCAGTGGTTCACCTTCTCCCTCTCTCACAGTAGGTCCAATCTCTGTCCACCTTCAATTTTACCACCAACCTTGTATGCGTTGCGAGTTTGGCAGCTGTACGATGATGATAATGATGAAGTATTCGACGTTATCATCATTATCGTACAGTGTAACAAAGTAAAGCAAAATTCACTGACCGTTGCCAAAAATTCCATTAGAGTTTGATGGACGGGTACCGCTATGGTGTCCAACCATTAAGAGTGATTAGGGTTCTCGTCCAAAGCCTTTAGTTCTAACGAAAACCTGCCCACAAGGTAGCGGGTGAAGCAAGGTAGAGGTCCATCTACTTGGATCGATTACTTCCCTACCATTTTAACTACTCAGACGCTAACTCGAGTCGAACCCTCAACCTGGAAGACCAGGAGACTAAAATTTGTCTGACCTCTACCCTCTAACCTTCAAGGCATGATGAAATCTCCTGGACTAATAAAAGCCATCCTTTGTAACTCGTTGGGTCACAAGCCATCACACCACGTCGAGATGCGGTCTCTTCGTCATTGGACGTTTGACGTTTGCATTTCTATCTCTGACAGAAGCTTATCGCTAGTNTTAGATTTATCTTTTGTAAACTCTTGTACGATAAACAACAGATGAGTTAAACCCCATAATCACGAGGACCTGCTGTTCTCTCATGAAGACCGGTCGCCTAAACTCCGGGACCACATTAGACCGCTCTAGATTGGGTGTGGTATGGGACTTGAGAACGACCAAAGCATTCGGTTTAGCTGTCGCAGTATGCTAAACGCCACTTTTTACGGCTCCGCAGGAGGGTTCTCGTCCACTTTAAAGGTGCACCCCATTCTTTTTATTAATAGATATTATCATTAATGTTATAACATTTTCTGTTTCATAGCTCCTGTTTTAATTTCAGTTGCAAAATGCCATTTTTACTTATTCAATATCCATCGGGTCACAGGGCTAATATTGAAATTCAACCCAACACTACTCTCCGCAAGGTGAGCTAACCTATCAGTGTTCCCAATCCTGCCTGCAAGGTTCTAGAGTTGGCCTGTGAAAAACGTGCTTTGGATTGTTCCAAATACTCTTTAACGTGAGTCACAAACCTGCGATTCGGAAAATCAATTTCTCATTGATCATTTATACCATTATCATTCATCATTTTACTAAATTATTTGCCGTATAATGACAACCCGTAGTAAATACCATTGCAGATTGCTACAAATATGATTTTATATGGGTATGGCCCATGATTATGAAAATGGAAATGTATACTGATTCATTCTGAATATGATATTTTAGGATTCTTACCTCTAAGCTGATCCCTCACTTTATCAATTGAAGATTTTTATACGAATACTTTACGATACAAATGAGAACCAATTTCCACCTGTGTGTGATATGAATAAGTGTATTGATGATCTTCCCACCCCCACAGATACAACCGACGCCCAGTTGATCTGTCAACCTTTTTTCGCTTTTCGGGTCTGGTGAATCGTGCCACACTAGACCTCGTTCCACTGAATGATGAAGAGAGTCGGCGTATGAATGAATCAACCACTCAGGTGCGTGTCTGTTTGCGGTTGGGTAGCGGTGAACGGGCGATTTGGCAAGGCGATCCTGCTTCTTCATTATGGAGTATTGTAAAAGAAGCTGGTTCAACAAACACGCAGTACGTTCATGTAGAGACCTTCCTTCACATAATCGTTTTATTATCTTTCAACTTCACTGGGTGTGCCGGAGTGAAATATTGCGTTTTAAAACTATATAAACACAATTACAATAAAATGAAATAGATAGTGCAAAGAAGAACCTTGCGCTACAGCGCAATACGACTTCTTTGGAGGTTGGCGGTAGTTAAGCGATTAAATTCATCATATCAGTATGTCGGTGATCGTGTATTTGAATCCCGTCACCACCAACCATCTTCCCTATAAGTATATGTATTTCCTGAAGCAGGCATTGATCTCCAGCAGCCCCCCTCTCTGAAAATGGACTATGCACTCGCTTGCTCAATGAATGACTAAGATTTATACCAGGATCATCATTATTATTATAGATGTTATTTTTTCTGTATGTAATATATTTTGTTACGTCATACTATACATAATAATTGGGATGTGTTGTTACTGGCTCGCGCCGTTTCTCCAACCGTTTTTCCCGCCTTGAGTTAGTGCATTTAAAGACAATCCATTATAAGTTCATAAGGTAGGTGTTTAGCTCTGGTGTGCTTGAATGCGCCTCCTTGGTTTATCTAGTTGTTCGGGTGAAGTGGCTATTACGACCAAGATTAATTGTTTTGATAATTTTCTGTTCCGTGATTTAACTTTTCAAACAGTCACCCTCCATTTCCCCTTGTTTTTCTTTGCCTAGTGTTATCTGCCTACCAATTTGTAAATTGTTTTCTCTGGCTACGTATCAAGGCTATCTCTACTTGACCGGAAAACTCGTCCCAACCAATTTCCATACGCCAAATGCATTTCTCTTGAGTGAAGTATATAAATTCAGATATTCTATGTTCTCTCGGCGGATGCGGGAGGCGCGCTTTAATTTGGTCTGTTTTCGAGGAATCATGGGCTTTTGCCCGGGGTCCGGTATACAACACAAATAAAGCGCGTCTTAACGGCACACGTGCCCGTACAAGCATTCTTCATCAATTCTAGTACTGAATTTTACTGATTAAGTGCAATCAGTTTTCCAGATGTAGACAGTGGTCCACCGAATTGTGTGCGCCAGGTTGAAATACATGACGCGCAAGTCGAGAGGATTTCGATCTATGCTGCTCAATCAACACAGCATTTGGTGTGTGCCAATTCGCCTGTTAAATTCATTAATGTGACTTACTTTCGAGAGGTTGACCGTCGATTGGTCAAGGGTCCTCACTCGAGCCAGGAAGTTGCGGCAATGAGACCGATTGCGTGTATATCTCATGAGTCCTAATAAGGACGAAACAGCGGGTCATCTCAGATTATTTTGCCAATAAAAATGAAATGATAAATGATTCTTCTATCTTTTTAATCATCTTCATAAGTGATACAGAATGCTGGTTATTACTGCAAGACAGACTGTACAAATAATGATTCATAGCTTGGTGGAAAATCGATCGGTTTTGCTGCAGAAGAACATAATCTTTCGTCTTTATTGTGTCTGTACGAATCTTGGAAAATGCCTTTTTCGTCCACAAATGAGTCCAATATCTCATCACAATGCAAGTTACAAAAGTGAGTGGCTTTGAGAACATCCCGCCTTCCTGACTTTTCTTTGCCTACAGTGTTGCCCAGTCAGAGCTTTAAATTCCATTATTCGATCTAAGCGTTTCACCAAGGCTGTTGTCTCGTCGCTTTGTGAAAATACGCAGACCGAACCTGAATGATTGATTTGAAGCTCACCATAAAGCTGTATGGATGCTGACGATCATCATTATCGTGGTGTTTCATTCATCATTCAAACAGATAATCCTGGGCTGTAAGCGAGAGACCGTTTTAAAACCCACGTTGTGCTTCGTGGGCAGTTGTGTGGATAGTCCGCTAACTGCGAAGCATTTTGTGATCCTTGTTTCTCGCANTTCACGTATTTTGACCGCGGTTTGATTTCGTCTTCATCATCTGCTCTCACTCCGTCTATCTTTCCATCATTGCCTTTTCAGTTTCGACCAGTTCTTGCGATCTGACGGAGGTAACGTACCCGTTGTAGCCTATCTTGGTGAACAAGTGAGTGCCGTTAGTTCCACCATATTTTTAATCCTAAATATAATTTTTTTAGCCCCTGTCTATCTGTGCATGTCCGTCCACTAGGATTTACAAACCGAAACCCCTATTTGTTCAACTTGTTTTTTTTGACAGTAGAAGAAAGGAGATTATGGAAAAACTCAGTAACCTTGGTAGAATTCGAATCCACGGATGGATAATTAGCTGGTGGATCCGAAACGGTTTAAGGATCTATGATCGAGCCAAATATCATAAATAAGGTCTGGAATGATTATCATCTCCTATCATTGAAACCATAAGATCGACTAAACCATATAGCGGGGATTCGTCCCAACATCAATTTAGTTTAAATTTCACTCAGAACGTATCCTGGAAATTCTCCTTGTCCGTGGCATTTAAATTGCCCCACTGAACCACAAGTAGTACTTTTGGTTAACACGCGGGGGATATCCGAATATCTCTGTCGAAAAATAGTTTGCAGTACCATATTGCATAAGGGTTTTATTTTCAGTGTCCACCACTAAACATATCCCATTCTCATCTTGTGAAGCGCCTCTCCAAAAATATCTGTTTAGGCACCAACCTTGCTACCTGCACAAGCTTCAGCTTTTGCAACTAACAACCATGCACTTTCATGGGCCGCTTTTGGTTGGTGTTTCATAACTTCTCATTTGGATGAACGGAAGATTGCAATTTTCAAATCAGTCTCAGAGAGAAAATCGAGAATTCATGATGACTAAGATTGCAGGTATAATGAGTAGATGTGCGAGCTTATGGCGAGCTTATGTCCCTAGGGAATACGTTGCCCCTGACGCTCCTACCAGGAAACCTAACACGGCCTGTGTGAGCAAGTTTCCTGACCAGGATTTGAGTTTGATCAATCTTTGTTTTTTCCACCCAATACCTGCCTCAGAAAACAAAAAGCGACGTCATACTATTTAGTGACATGCGCAGCGCATACCCCAACCAGCGTAGTCAATGGCGATCAATCACTTGCTTCTGTGGGCGACCGCGATCATCTAAAACTCTGCACCTAACCTCGGCATTGCTTGTCGGGCCTCCTCACCAGACTCGTTCAATGTCACGTAGACAGCGGTGTTGGAACACCAGCAGTCTATTTTTATCATGTTCCCGTAATGGCCAAAACTCTGCACTCTGTAGCAGCACTGGTCAACGGCTGCAGCGTATACTCGACCCCTCACAGACAGCCTGATATCACGACAGTTTCATAGGCCTCTCAAGTTGGCAACTGCCAACCGAGGCTTATATATGCGTGCCGACACTTTATCCATAGTGTTCTCTGTTTCTCTTAATATTGTTGGGTCGTACGTCTATGCAGAACATAACACTTAGCTTAAAGAGATCTCAAAATTGAAATAAATTCCTCAGGCACACCCTTCAGAGAGAGAGAGCCAGAGCATAAGGTGGTCGACTGAGTCGAAAGCCACTTTGAAATCGAGGAAGACAGAAATGGTGGGTCCATGGAAGGAGTGTTCGTGTTCTAGAATTTCGCGAAGAGTGAAGAGTGAGCCGCAACCAACCTGATTCGCACACGTGCGGCAGACCATCGACGGATTATGACACCAGCGAGAAGTATAGAAGCAATGATTAAACTAATTCCTCTGTGGTTTTCACAGGAGGATCTATCACCTTTCTTGTAAATCGAATCGAATGCACACCATTCAGTTTGAGCTTGTTCCGTCTCCCATACTGAGCTCAGATATTTGGTCAACTCGAAAATCAACGCTGACCTTCATCTCTAAAACTCGATGGAAACAGCTTATCTGGGTCGGAGGACTTATACCTCTTGAAATAATGTATTTCCCAGGTAACTTTCATTTCAGATGGAGAACTGACTTCAGCTGGCAGTATTTGCCTAGTTGCTTGGTTGAATTAGACGGTTTACTGTCGACGGGGGCCAGCTGAACTGTGCCTTAAAATATTCGGCCCATCGTTCAAGACTGCGTTCTGAATATGAGTAATTGTGCCGTCAGGCTCTTTAACTACCTCACGCTCAATTTCATTGGGCCCGTGCTCCTAATTAGACGAACAAGATTACGACTATTACCGATAGCCACAACCTTCACCGTCTTTCTACATTTTCCCATCCAGCATTTCTCGTGGTCATTCCTCAGGCTCTTGCTGAGCTGGCGTTTAAGGCGTTTGCGCTGTGTCCAATTTGGCATCTGGAGGAATGGTCCTGCGGGTGTTCAGTAACAGCCGAGGTCAGGGAGATCCATCATTTTTGTTTTGATCGCGCGACAGAATCCACCTTTGTTTCGATTGACACTTAAATCGCTTCCTTGATTACCGTCCAGTATTCACCGAATCCTTCAGCTGATCGTTGGGCCGAAAGGCGATCAGGCAGTTCCCCTTCTAAGGCAGATTTGCAATTGTTGTATTGTGATCATCCGTTTCCGGCTGCGTTTTTACGGTTGTTTATCGGGCGTAGGAAGAATCCGGCTCGTAGCAGGTACGTGTCCGCCCGGTGATGACCGGTATGCGCGGCAGTATGCAATGGATTTTTAGCGATGACTGATGATGATGTGGTCGATTTAAGTCCATCACTATGAAGAGGTGGGCGGTGTCTTTTCTTATTGGAGAAGTTGTTGCTCTATAGAAACATACCGTGTTTCACGCACAATTGAAATAGGCGATCTCCGTTGTCCGTCCGGTTGGCTGGGATTGCATGTGGTCCGTCAAGAAGCCCAGGGACCCCACTTGAGCACTGAAGTCTCCAGCGACTATTACGACGTCCGTTGACCGAGCACTTTGGAGTAGTTGAGAAAGATCCCTGTAGAATTCATCCTTCATTTTAGGTGTACTGCAATCCGTTGGTGCATACACGGATACGACAAATAAGCATCAACGCTTCATTCTGTAGCTATTGACCCGTGCCGAACTGTTAAGACGTTCAGCACACAATCGGCTACTGACTGGAATTTAGTCAAGAAGCGAGCGCTCAGCCTTAGTACTTAGCGTAATCATGACATCAGCAAAACCGCGAGCTTTGTATACCGAATCGCCTGACACACGAAGGATGAAGCGTGAGGTTGAGGTTGGGTCAGGAGAACACAAGGAGATAATTGAAGTAGGGTCTTGTGTGCGTATTTTGGAGATACGAAAATTTCAAAAGTTCTAGCTAAAGTAAATTGTTGTTCCATCTGATAGAGTGTGCGGACATTAATTGCGGCTAAGGGAAAAGGAGATTTCGGTTTCGAAAATCTGAGAGTTTCTGAGTGGTTGACCTTATTAGTTGAACGCTGAGTGATATACCATGGATAGCGCAAACAGGATGGATTTCCTAAGATTTAGGAGTGAGAAGAAGGGATCATCCCTTAGCCTCATGCGCCCAATGAGATAGGCGGAACGTGGATGGGACAGCACTTTATCTGCTGGGGGCTACTCAGCTTGGGTGAAAATGAAATGCGAAGGGAAGCCCCAGGTATCATGCTCCTACGTCCTCCCCGTGTTTATTCGCTGGAGTGACTTCTTCAGAGGCGAGAATGAATTGCCAAAGTAAGCCAGGTGCCCAATCAGTTTAAGTTGTGAAACTGAGCTTTGGCTTCTACCCGTTGACCTTTCAGGCATGATTGAATCTGCGGCTGTGAAAACCGTCATGTATAGCTCGCAGGGTCGTGGGGACGTGCAAGCCATCGCACACCATCAAGGTGCGGTCTCATCATGATGGCATCTTCGCAGGATGAGTGTATTTTCATCGAGGTATCAGAAGAATCTTTTTCACTGAGTTAGCAGATCATTATCAATTAGCCTATTTAGGGAGGCTAGAAAATTATCATTCCAAAGAACTGCCAAACAATATGAATCCAAGGTATGTCGGTCGCTGTTTGCATGCTATGTAGATTGTATTAAACAACACGTTTTGTACAGATATTGAGATCGTGCTTGGCTTCTTCTTCGTCCTTTTCACACTTTGCACGCAGATCGTTGGTGAAACTAAACTCCGGACCACACTTCTACGTGATTTGGGTGTTTCCAGCGGTTCAGTGCTGCTACAGTTACATCACTGTTCACCAGCGGATCTTCCACCGCAACCGCCATCACCACCACCACAAAAACTTCTGGTTGGACAGGAAAAGCAATCTATCGAAAGCTGCTCCCTATCGCCTCCGACCGCACCGACGACTCTTCAGGCAGTTGACTCCGAACCGAAGCGACCCCGGACCGGGGATTCTGCACAGGAGCATTCCTTGACACCTTTGCCGCGTTTGCTCATTGACGAGAGAGAAGAGCACCAAGTCATTCCAGACATCTCTCAAAGTTACCGAACTGATGGCCAAAACGGTTCGACCAATGCAATGCTGACAAGTAGGTCTCTTTTTCGAGACTGGTGCATTTTCTCACTCTGATGGACACTGAGTAGTTTTCTGTGTACAGTAACCATTGGAAACCGGTACAGTATTGGCAGAGAAGCATAAGCATGTGAGTAATTCCCACTGTAAAACTTTGACTTTGACAGCTTTGAAGACTTTTTCAAACCGTACTCATTTTCAGTTTGTACAGGCATTAACCTTACACTTCCTTTCACTGGTTTTGGCTGGAGTGGTTTTGCCACTCATTGATTTATTATTACTATTAGTATTGTATTTTACACACACCTGGGTCCAGACTCTGCACTAAACAAATCACGGTACAAAAATCTTTTTGAAAACGAAAAAAGCTTTCTTATATGCTTGTGGGCAGTAAACTACTAGGCTGCCGAAGGCAAATCAGGTGAATTTTCTTAGGGCTTCTCAGTCGGAACCTTCTTCTTACCAATCCATTGGGGCCGGCATCCAGTAAATCGGATCGTACATCCTTTGGAGGGGATTAAACGCTCAATGTGCCCAATACATCTTGAAGCTCAATCGAGCCGATGACCACCGCCACAACCAGGAAGAAGTGTGCGATTCGTATACGTCTTCTCGATTGGTTTGAAATTTTGGGTTTGTTGCCAACTTCCCTGAGTTAGCTGCCAGTGGTTCACCGATCAGGTGAAAGCCTCGAATGTTGGATTTTCATCCTTTCAATTTTGCAGGAAAATACTTTCATCACACGAAGTTGACGAGAAGGGCTTCTTCAGCCGAAGCTATTCGGGACACTCCGTCTCATTGGGCAATTCGCGAAGTACAAGAAAAGGATGACCGGTCACAGTCCAAAGCACCCACCCCCAACTCTTATTAGGTTACTCATTTAATCGACTGATAAGGCGAAACGAGGCGAAACAAAGAACAATTTCAAGATAAGGATCCGGATAGAGAGTGTAAGTAAACTGGATGTCTGTTCGAGGTCAGTTTATGCACCAGCGTTACTGTTTATAATACTTAGTGATACCACCCAGTTTCCCTGACCAATACACGGAAGGCTGACGCAACTTGTATGACCAGGTCTCCATGATCAAGGTTTTCATACCTTCATGTCCGGTTACAATCTAACCGTCGTTATCCTTTTTCCAACTTTAGCATACGACTCCAGATAACATTGCAGTCATTCCACGAAAAAAGACGGCATGATAGTCGTGTAGGATTTGATCCTATTATGTAGTAAATTTCGTGTGAAAAGGAAATGAAGCGTGAACTAGAAAGCTGGGAAGCTCTGTACAGCTAGTTCAACGTGCAGCAGCCTAAGTCCATCGATCAAACTGATTATTGAACCCGGGTCCCCAGTACAGAGGACGAATGCTGGTATAAAGATGAGTGAGACGTGATTTCCTCAACTAGCTTGCACACGGTTTGTGCTGTGTCGTGTATGAACAAAAGCCAACAATACCCTGATCAGCTTCCTGGTGATCAAAGGAGTGGGTGGTACTGAGGTAAATTAATATTATTTTGAAAGTCTAAAATCATAAGTTTAGGTTGCACCAACTGTGTATTTGCAATACCACGTTGACACGTGTAGCTAAAAGAAATCGCAACAGCACAGTGTTATGTAATTCATTTCGGGAGAACTTTCGCGGTATTTTTCTAAGGTAAATACTTCATTGAAAAATATTAAGCTGTCGTCTGTGAACCATTGGTGTTAAATCAGCACATTTTTGGATCAAGACAGATTTAGAGTTACAAACAAGTTCGTTCCATTTGAGCAGTCCACTTTTCCATCACTCAGTAGCAATTGTCTCCCGCCGCTCCACTCCCGAACCAGATCAAACAGATCCGAATGATTTCCCTATTTGGAGCGTGTTCGCCACACCACCACAAGTATCCATGTTCGATCACAAACCAGACAAGGAACAACAACGTGTATCGGAGGTGAGCTATGTGTCTGTGCGCGCTTGTATGCATCCTCTTGTCCCGTTCACTGCTTGCATTTTCGTCTATATAAGTTAGCCTTAGCGACCTATTCAAAGCTCTGTTTGAATGAATTTTGCGAGATAAACACCCAGGGTGTTTCACATTCGATTTTATATATTCTCAAACTGTCAAAGCAAAGTTAAATTAGCCCAAGTATTCTGTTTCACTAGAGTTCTTATCTTCGTATTTGTATGCCTATTTTGATAGCGATCGAACGCTTTACCTTACTATCACTGGTGTGCAGCCGGCTTCATTGTTCAAGCTTTGAACAACAATACTGCATTTCAGTTTTGCTATGTATCAGCTTCACCAGTGTTCAACTTAATGTTACACTTGATCTGTTCGGCTTGTACTTTATGTATCAGATTTCTGGTTACCGGATTGCATGTTTTAGCACTGTTTCTTTTTTGATTGGGGATAAAATTATCCATAGGTTGGCTGGCATAGAGCACTGCCCAGCTGTTCTGTATCTGTTCAGGTTCGTGAGTTATGCGTACTTTTGTATCCCCACCAAAACTCGAACCGTGGACTTCCGGGTTGGGAACTAACACCATCTCTAGGCGACACTGCTCAAGAGCAACATTTTAAACGAAAAGCTGTCTTTCTGCAAAAAGCTGTTGCATTGGTCTGCGGTCTTATCGTTGACTCCCAGTCAGGGAGGTGCAACGAAGCAGCCATGTTACTGAATGACTAAACCTGATTTGACTTGATCCTTTCTTTCTTTTTCATTTGACTACCTTTTATCGAATACATAAGGATGCAATTTTGGGGAAGGGGGAAGCGGACAATCAAAGGGATGCCATACAACACAGAATAGGGGAATTCAGACAGTGGTGGTGGGATTCGATCACTCGTCCTCTGGGATGATAATTTGGTGACATTACCACCGAGCCGCCACCTTCGAGGGAGACATAACTTCAGTTGCTCAATTTTCCGCCTAGGTGATCGACACATTCTGTCCAGGCTATCTGACTTCCCGTCTTTATGCCCAAAACCAAATTGCACACAAGTTTAATGATGCAGTCTGATGGATTCTCTCGTACATGCTCAGTCACGGTTGCTGTGATCTGAGTCTATTAACACATTGTGAAATAACATTGACTGAACCTTACTCTTTTGTTCACTTTCATTCTTTATAAATATCGTTGCATTCGTTTACGAATACTGTTTCCGATTTCTTACTCTCTGTTCGTTGTTCTTTTAATAATCAGACGCCGCAAACATTGGGTGAAATTTTGGGCATTGGTCTGACCTTAGAGCGCGGTCCGCTACCTGGGCCGACTGAATCACCGTACGTGTTCCAAAATTTCAGCGTAAGTCCAATCTCGAGTTGTGTAATCGTTAATACGTGATCCAGGCTGATACAAGATCTACGTTTTTCGGCTCAATATCGGCCTCATCAGGAAACAGATGACGAAGAGTGACGATTGTATAAAAAATAGCTTGTTTTCAATGTGCCAATGAGCCTCCTCCATATACTAGCATTTTGTTTCATTTATACACCGTGACTTTCATTTCTTCACTCTGACATTAAGCTGCTCCCTCACCGCTATGCGACTCGTATCCCATCTGCCGTGAACCACAGTATGATGTGTAAAAACGATCCTGTTATACAACCCATCTCATCGGAGACTGGCCAATAAACTATGCTTTTTCCTTGCAACCCGATTTGGCTAGCCCCGGAAAGTCATCTGCTTTAACCTGGTTAACCGGGAAGTATTGCGTCCGCGAACAAACCGCGACTCAATGCATATCGCAGAAAATTATAAAAAGAAGTTTCAATCTAATAAACCTGATTAAAGTAAGACTGCTTTTCATCAAAACCTAAACAACTTTAGCAAAGCAATCGAGTATTTACCAACAACTAAGCAGTTTCTTCGAATTTATCGTTGATTCATCGTGCGTGTTCTGACTTTTCTTTATCTCTTACAATTCCAATAACTTCGACTACCTTTTCAATAGTTTCCGAGCGAATCAGAAACCATGGACATCCAAGATGATCGGTGAGTTGCATAATAACCATTCTGTCTCTTATTGATCATCTGACCTGCTTTTCTTGTCTCTCTTTGTGCATCATGACCCTGGAAATGTAATCAGTTCACATGAAATTCTTTTTTCCCTACCATCATTATCCTTGGTTTTGTGTGTTTCCAGAGGTGTTCACAGTCCTCGATGTTTCACTGCGCACAATCCGGGTTCACTATCAGCAGTTGGAATCAAATATGATCGGAGGAAACAGTAATCTGTCCTGTTTCTAAACTAATCCCATTTTGACCAACGGCGATAAGGTCTTCATCACCGTGGGAGCCAAGCGGGAATGATAATAGAAAAATAGCTAAATGACACTCGTTCTGAACCCCCGATTAGCAAAGAAATCTGAAAACAAGATCACATTAGGCAACCTTATGAAGGAATAAAACTGATGTAGTCTTGTTCAAAAAGGAACAACGGAGCGGCTGCTCAGCACTGGATTTTGACTGTGATTCGAAATTTAAGGTTGATAAAGGTTGTTGGCTCGTGTACATGACAACTATTATTTGTACGTGAAGTTCGGTTAACCAGGGACAAAAAGTATAACTCCACAGTTAGCAGTATCCATTGTCGACATTACAAATCCGGACTTTGTACAACCTAAGAAAATCTATTAGAGCATTTTGCCGATGTTCCTTCGCCTATACACTTTATTTTGGAGGTTACTTGAATCTCCAATCGGCGTTCACTGGTCCCATGACCATCTCATGCGAGTTTTGTGGAATGGATCGTGGTCGCCCCATTCCCGGTGCAGAATTATCAATGGTGCTTATAAATGATCGATATGGAGCGAAACAAGCCGTTGACTAATGCACGATAACAGTTATTCGTTTATTTTCCACGAGACAGAAAACGTCGGATGATTATGCGGTGTGGATATAGTGATCTTGTAGCGAAAAGGCGAGCTGGCTGGGTAAACGTGTATTGATCCAATTCCAAAAACAACCGTAGTACGTGTTCAATTATATACCTTCAATTCTGAACCGCGTGGTAGGATGATTCATAC